TGAAGATAATAAAAGACTTTGCTAATCAGATGTTTCTTTGTGGCTGAATGATTAACAGCACGTCAGATCAAATGCCGATTCATAACAGGTTCAATTCCTGTCAGAGAGCACATATTTTTTATGAAATTTCATGAACATTCAGGCCTGTAAATGTAATTTATACTGTTTAATTAAAAAACAGAGTATTTGCTTAGATAAATTATATCTATAAAAATAATGTATAAACAGAAAATAAATAAATATATATATATATATATATATATACTTATTTATTATCTCTGTTTATTAATGTTTAGGTTGCACATCATTGAAGTTACTAATTTGATAAATGTCAGGTAGATTATTACTTTATAACTTTGAAGAACCTCAAATTCCAAAAATAACTGAAGAAATTGTCTGATTGGTTTTCTGAGTTCAACACCAATTTTTTTCAGTGATACATGGAGATTTTCAAAAACAGACCTAAAAAAAACAAAAAAAAAACAGTCATTTAATATACGTATCTGTTCCCCGGTGGATATAGCAAAGGAATTTTACTTGTCTGTCTGTTTTGTTGCTGTCACTGTAGCAACCATTGTCGACATTTCTTGAGTTTTCTTCAGCAAGAAACGGCTGGCATCCTCCAGACCTACTTCTATTATAGCGCCTTCTTTGAAATAATCCACTTATTCCTTACCAAACTATACACACCCACTTCTCTTCATCCAATCAAAATAGGATGCTAACCAAGCAAATATCTTTTCTGTTTGTAAAGTCTTTCTTTTTATGATAAAAAAAAAAAGAAATCTTTGTTTTTTTTTCCTTGTCACTTCTTCTATTTTTGCTACTTTGATCGCAACGTGTGTGGCCAGTAACATCACAGGGTCTTTCAAGGATTTTCTTTTTATGTTTTTTTAAAGATCTAGCTTTCCTTAAGGCATACCCACTAATTTAATCTTCCTGTAACCTTTCTGCTCAAGAAACTTTAAGAAGTGCTTGAAATCAGATCAGGTAACTTAGAGAAAATTTGTAGAAAAAAAAAAGAAGCATATTGATAGAAATCTGTTACAAGAGTTGATCTAGTTATAAGCTTAAGAGATGATACGTTAGATTGGCTAATGCCAACAGTGTGAAATATGAATAGGCACAAACATGCATATATATATATATATATATATATATATATGTCTTAGAATCTATTTTATACACTTATAGGTTTTATTATTCATGCATATATTGAATATTGCTGCCACATCTGGTCTGGTGCTATTGCTATATATTTAGAGATTCTTGATAAAATCCAAAGAAGAATCTGCAACTTTATTGGTCCTGACCTGGCATTTCAGCATCATTCACTTTCCTACGGCTGTATCATAGTTTCCCTTTGCATTTTCTATAAATATTTTTATGATTATTGTTCTGATGAGATTTCCACTTTGGTATCTTGACTTTATGAATTTAAGCGCAGTACTAGATTGGCAGCTAGGTCTCATTATTTTACTGTTGAAATTGCTACTGTAAGTTCTATGCTAAAAGTTCTTTCTCTTGCAATTGTGAAACTCTCTTCCAGCTTCTTGCTTTTAAATAAACTTTGATCTTCTGCCTTCTTAATTCATGTTCTTTTATTGTCCTCTCTCCTTAATAATGTTTTTCTTTTGCTCATTCTTTCACACTTAGTAACCCCTTTGCATCTTAGTGGCTTTATTACCTTGCTTGGTATGAAATGATTATTTTATATATATATATATATATATATATATAATCATATATATATATATATATATATATATATATATATAAAAATAATCATATATATAAAATATATATATATATATATATATATATATATTTATATATTTGGTTGGCATCAATCCAACCAAATATATTAGCTCTATCTCTGATATTGAGCGCTTTCTAATAAGTACCACGCATATAATATATAAATAATTATACATATATATATATATTTATATTTATATACACTTTTCACACATATATATATATATAGGATGTATCAAAAATATTTTACAAACATTGAGGACAGGTCGCTTTCACCAAAACAAAGACAAAAGTCCATATAAACATATGTCCACAAATCCTTCATTTTTTAGTTATTTTGTTTAAAGTTTATGGTAGATGCTGTTAAATGTACAATCTACGATAGAATCCAAAAATACTTTGAGAAACTTTTGGAATGGATTCCTGACACAAAAAAAAAGTAAAATATCTATATAAACATATGTCCAAAAGGCCATCATGTCCTCTAGTTGCTACACATGTACTTGTTGGATGCTTGACTGGTGGACCCTTTCAAATACTCCCACATGGTGTTAAATGATTTCACAGGCCTCCATGACATGTTGATGAAGCATCTCTGCATTTTTAATGTCTGCTTCATAAACCAATTGCTTTAGGTGGCCCAAAAGATAAAGCCACTAAGATGCAAAGGGGTTACAAAATCAGCACACACATTAATTGTAAACTGATGATGATGTGAATATCCTGCCATTGTTAAATGGAACATTTCATAGTTAACTCACGACTACACATGTTAAATGTTGAAGACAGATGAGCTACAAATTTACACAAATGACAAATGTAACCTAGTCTACATGTCAACACGGTGTCATCTACCATAAACTTTCTTTAAACTTAATAACTCAAAAATGAAGGATTTGTGGATGTATGTTTATGTGGACTTTCATCCTTGTTTTGGTGTGAGGAACCCACTACCAAAGTTTGTGAAAGTATTTAGGTACACCTTGTGTGTGTGTGTGTGTATATATATATATATATATATATATATATATATATAAAGGTCTATATGAACCTGGATAAAGGCAATTAATACAATTTCTTTTTTTTTTATTGACGAGATCATAAGATCAAAACCTGGGTCAGAAAGGTACCATATTTATTTATCAACCAGCCAATTTGAAGCCTTCTTTTAAAAGGCTTTGGTAATATATATATATATATATATATAAATTACATAGAAGAGAAATTCAAAATTACCTCATTTGGATAGCTATTTCACCCAACAAGAGCTTCCTTGGAGGATTTGTCAACACCAAGGGGTTAAAAAATAAAATAAAATGGTTGCTTAAAAATTTTAAACTTTAAAGAGTCAAGAAAAAGAGAGAAAGATGAAAAAGAATATAACAGAGATTGCAGCAAATTGTTTAGACAATTTCATGGTGGTCCAGGGGAGGGTTAGGATTCAAACACCAGTTAAATAACCTTGACCTATATTTTAAAATATTAACATCTAGTTTCTATAAAGAAATTACTTAAAGAAAATTAAAAACTTAAAAATTAGTGAAGATATTTATAATTATTTTTATAAAAAACCTTTAAGGAAGAGTAATTAAAATGTAACAGCTAAAATAAATAATATACAAATAATAAACCATATAATATGATAATTGAGATAATAATTAATGAAACAATTATTAAAGTTAAGTTAAGTAAATTTAATAAAAAATATTATATATTAAATATAAATTAATAGGTAATAAATATAAACTAACAAATAGATAAAATTAAAAAAAATACATAAGTGAAATGTAAATTAATTATTAAATATAAAAATAAGTTAATTAATATAAATATAAAATATATATAAATAAAATTAACTATGAGAAATAAGCATAACTTTATTAAATATAAATTTTAAATATTAAATCTAAAGTTAAATATAAAATTATAAATTAAATAAAATATTAAAATAATAAATAAAAAATAATTAAGTAAAATAAAAAATAAAAAAAAATATAAAAAATAAAAATGGAATAATAAGAGTAGTAGTAATAATAATAATAATGAAAACACCTATGTAGGAGGAAGGTTATTTCATAGGAATGAGAAGGAGTAGAAATAACAATATATGTGTTAGGTAATAACAGATTAAGCAAAATTAATAAATAATCTTGATCAGTTTGAATCTACTTCACTGACAACATTTGGAAACTCACTCATTCCTTTGATTTGGTAGTATACTTTTGTTATAGACAAGTGTATGGTTGCAAGGAAGAAATACGACAACAGCAGAAATAGATTTACGTGATTTATTTCAACAGGAACGTGTGGTTTTGGGACAGCTACCTTGTGGTATAGTTCATAGGCCGGCTGAAGATCTGGGTTGAGCTCTCATAGTAGTTCACACTGGTTGGCGCTGGTGCTCCCCCTGCTGACTCCTGCTGACTGCTCAGCCTGACCGTGACAGGTATCTTCCGTTTTTTTATGGCTTAACAGGCTCGAAAAATGACGCGAGTATAATTAGGAGGGAAGCATTTTTATTGGTCGAAAAATAGAAACACTGTAAAATATTATTTTATTTTTCGACCGGAACTTGTGTGTCGGGAACATGCGTAAACGAAGATAATGGTAATTTTGCGACGGGGCCTTGACCCGTTCACATTCGGCTCTCGCTCTTGAGTATGTTAGATTATTTGCCTGTAAATCAGCCGAGATATGTCTTATTTTATTTTATAACACTTTGATTATCAAATTATCATTAGTATTATTATTATTTGATTATTATACTAAAGATGAAGAAAGTATTCATTGAAAATACTTGCAAATGAACTGAACATCTAATCTATTTTACAATTTTTAAAAACAAAGATCACATCATTCAACGAGTGGTTAGTAGATTAATAAATCTGTTAGCGAAGTGAAATTGCTATTAATTGCATTAACTTTATTGATTTATTCTTTGTATTTCTTCTTTATAATATTAATTATACTGCACCATTAAATTTAAATAATATATATATATATATATATATATATATATATATATGAAATAATTCTTTGTATTTCTTCTTTATAATATTAATTATACTGCACCATTAAATTTAAATAATATATATATATATATATATATATATATATGAAATAATTTTTTTATATATATATATAGATATAAAATTTTTTATAAAACTCCATTTTCAGCCCTCTTTTAGTTTACAAGTTACACGTCATTCTTCATATAACCTCAATTTAATGTCATAATTAATCTAGTGATAGATATGAAGAGACTGAGAGAGAAAGAGAGATTGACAGATATAAACAGACTGAGAGATTGAGAGAGTAACAGTCAGTAACTGAGGGAGAGAGAGATTGATAGATATGAACAGACTGAGAAAGAGAGATAGAATTGAACAGACTGGGAGAGAAAGAGTGATCAGTAGATATGAACAGCCTGAGAAAGGGAGATTGATAGATATGAACAGACTGAGAGAGAGAGAGTGATAGATATCAACATACTGAGAGAGAAAGAGGGAGTAATATAAACAGACTGAGAGAGAAAAAGAGATCGATAGATATAAACAGACTGAGAAAGAGAGATCGATAGATATGAACAGACTGAGAAAGAGAGATCGATAGATATGAACAAACTGAGAAAGAGAGATTGATACATATTAACCACAGGACCAGATTAAGACCGTGCCATTCCTGTAGTATATGTTAAAAAGAGACCCTAAATTAAAAAGTGACCGTAAATCAAGAAATATAGAGCTTATAAAATAGGTAAATACTTCTAACAATATACTAAAACCTAGTATAAATATGAAGCAAATATTTCTAATGAGCTATTTGAGTAGATTTAACAGCTTTGATATAATGTTACCTGAAATGATGAATAATTAAATATGCAGCTCCCTCGACAAGTAAACATTGATAGATTGTTAGATGTCAACTTCACCAGACAACTTGAAAGTATTTAATGTGAGGTCTTCAATAATCTGTAACATTTGCTATGAGGTTAATCCAGAATTGATGAACAGACTGAGAGAAAGAGCTAAATAAATATGAACCGATTGATGTAGATAGACAGATATGAATAGACTGATTGGTTGATAGATATGAAAAGACAGATACAAAAAGATTGATAGATGAATATGAACAGAGTGATAGATAAATAGATATGAAAAGATTGATAGATATGAAAAGACTGATAGATATGAACAAACTGATAGATATGAAAAGATTGGTAGATAGGTATGAACAGACTGATAGATAGATATATAGATATGAAAATTCTGACAGATATATAGATATGTACTGACCGATAGATTTATAGATATGAACAGACTGACAGATATGAACAAATTGAGAGAAATAGACATGAGAGGTTTGATCAAAAATTCTTGATCAGACCAAGAAACCCTTCCACTAAAATTCTGTTTGGTAAAAATTGAGGAAAAGTGATAAGGTATGAACAGACTGTGAATGAGAAATGAAACCAAGATTTTGAATTAATGTAAGTTGGCAGAATGTATTTTTGTGGAAATGCACAACAGTCATGCCACAGAAGGTGCCAATTTCACCCACGTTGTTCTCTGATAATAGGAAAAGAACTTTCTTGATAAAAAAAATGCAATTAAAAACTATTTATCATCGAAAATTAATACTCTAAAATCTCGTACAATTTTGAGAAATTTTCCAAATTTCTTCCAATAAAAGAGAGTTCCTATTTTTGTCTTTGAAAACATTCAACAATGTCTTCAGATGGATTTGATTATTTTACTTGTCATGATTTTTTGAGTTAAAAGTTATTATTCCATCACTTAAAATAGTATATCTAAACTTTTTTCTATAAACTTTCTCATCTTCAGTCAATTTTATTGAAGTTTCTACTTTTAAAGCTATATACATTCATTAGAGTAGAGAGGCAAGATTCGTGTTAGACTGAAACCTACAAAAGATAATAGATACTGTTTTTTTTTGTTTTTCTGACAATTCCTTGACTTGTGTGTTTTTCATCCTTCCTCATGTGTATAGTTCATCCAGCCAAACATTAGAAGGTTTTAGTTTTATTCTCTATTTTTTAAAGAGTCTCAAGGATATTTATTTTTGAAGAGAGTTTTACATTTTGACAATTTTCCAAATGCTGCTCTAACGTTATACATTGAAAGAAAAAAAAATCAAATAATCTGACAATGGTAATGGTGAAATAAAACATTTCCACACAGGAAACATTTGGCATTCAATGAATAGTGTTAATTTTAGTTAAAATTTATGAAATTTCTTTTATTTCAATCCAAGCAAGACAATAAAGCCACTAAGATGCAAGAGGTTACTGAGTGTGAGAGAACATGAGAAATGAAATTATTATTAAGGAGAGAGAACAATAAAAGAACAAGAATTAAAAAGGCAGAAGCTAACTTTTATGATTCCTTGCAAATCCTTGTCTCCCCTTTTGTAATGTTGGACGCCTTCGTTTGTCACTTTTGCTATGTCAAATGAAAGCTTGTTATCACTTCCAAAAATGCTTGTTATATTCAAGACTTTGTAGATGCTGCTACTAGTAGTAACGCCTTCCAATAATATCCACACTAGTAATACTTGTTCAAGTAGTAATTGCCAAATGATCAGAAGAGAATCGTAATCCGTATAGTAATAGAGTAGGGAGAGTGAATGTATAGCAGTAGTGGATAGACAAGAAGAGTGAACAGTGATCGTATAGCCATCACGTTACTTCCTATTTATTCACTTCCTTTATGATCATTTGATCTACTTAATAATGGAATCACCTGTTACTCGCTGGTGATCTAGTTTCAAACCACTGTCGGCAATGACACTTACTCTTACGCAACAATAATGATTGACATTGCATTTAAATTTTTTGAAGACCAAAGTTGAATAGAAGGCTGGAAGAATGTTCTGCAAGTGAGACGTTCAAGAGTCAACACAGAACTTATGGTTACATCTAGCCATTTTAATTGTAAAATGATGAGACTTTGCTGTCAATCTAGTACTGCACTTAGTCATAAAGTCTAGGTATTATAGAGGAAATTTCATCAGAACAATTACAATGAAAGTATTTATAGAAAAGACACAGGGAAGCTACATTACTGTGGCGGAAAAGAACTGAATCTGAGATGCCAGGTCTGGACCAATAAAATTGCAAAGTCTTCTTTTGATTTTATAAAGAATTTCTAAATATATAGCAGAAGCACCAGACCATATGGAGCAGCAGAGCGTGATTGGTAGTCTTATAAATGTGCAAAATAGATTCTGATATGAAAAAATGTCTACAACACAGTGAACCAATTTTCCTTGCAGCAAAAATAGCAATTGATTCAATTGATACTAACCTCCAGTAAAGCAACTTATTGCTCTTTCTTGGTCTCTCATTTTCTGTTTGTATAAGAGAAACGATTATATTGAATCAATTGCTAGATCTGCTGCTAGGATAATTGGTTCACTGTGTCATGCTAGACAATTTTTTTCACTAGAATCCATCTTACACATTTATAAGTCTACCATTCACCCACACATTGAATATTGCTGCAAATTCTGGTTTGATGCTTCTGTTTTATATCTAGAGATCTCTATCGATAAAAAGCAGGATGTGTGTGTGTGTGTGTGTGTGTGTGTGTGTGTGTGTGTAATGAATTTTCGACGGATTTGCACCAAAATTTACATGCACATGATCCAAGTTAGCGGGAAGGCCAAGACTGACTTTGCATTTCCCAACTCCCATCGATAGTGGAAATAATCGATTTTTTCATCCTTCTACTGCAATTTTCATGTAGTTTGCGACCATTTTCTACTGGCCAGAGTGAGAGCCTATAGCTGGCTGCCACGAATAGGCAGGAAGATTCTATTGACCAGCATGAGAGCCAACAGCTGACTGACACGAATGTTAACTAGCATGCAAAAAAAATCGATAGCTGCATTCGTCACAAGTGGGAAAAATTTAAATCCGCATGGCACTTTACTCTAATTGACTCATTCGCTTGCTTAAACTCAATGTAGATTCTGATTTCATAGAACTGGGTTGGGTGTGAAAAAGTATTTGTTGTTAACATTCTTTTTTCATTTGCTTTTTCCAGTTACGAGTCCTTTTTTTTAAAGCTGATCATTTTGTGTTCATTTTGTTTAGTTCTTTTTTCATAACAGATTTAAGGTTTAGTATAGAGCTTAGAAAAAATTCACAGTGTGAGATAGGCAAGAAGTAAGGCATGTAGCAACATCAGCACGGCAAAGGGCACTCCTTTAAAGGCAAGGAAGGGCAAAAATATTTTAAGTCAAGTGATAGCGATTGCTGTATGAGTCGTACGATTTTTGAATCAAGCACGGGCAATGCCGGGCCATGCTGCTAGTATTTAATAAAATCCAACATTAACTTTGCAAAAACTTTGATAAAATGCAACATTAACTTTGACCTGGCATTTCTGCTTCGGTCACTTTCCTGCTGCCATAAAGTGGCTTCCCTTTGCCTTTTCTATAAATATTTTCACAGTAATTGTTCTGATGAGCTTTCTTTAATGTTACCTTGACTTCACGAATTTAAGTGAAGTACTAGATTGGTAGTTAGGTCTCATCATTTCACTGTTGAAATTGCTAGTTGTAACTGTAAGTTCTACGTTTATAGGTTCTTCTTCCTCACTTCTCACCTGTGGAACTTTCTTCCTGCTTTCCTGTTAATTTTGATCTTTAAAAATTGAAATGCAATGTCAGTCAATATCTTCTGTCCTCTTGAATCCTGTTCTTTTATTATCTTATCTGTTTCTTTCACTCTCAGTAACCCCTTGCATCCTAGTGGCTTTTATTGCCTTGCTTGGGGTGAAATGATTACAAAAAAAATCATTCAAGTGGTAGCCAGTGGTGAAATATTTGAATTATTTTTCAGACAAGTATCCTCATCTTTCATCATTCCAGCTGCTGTATTCTTCAGCCTCAAGTGAAAAATTTCATCAAGAAAAGAACTGTTGTCCACATTTATTTTTATGAATCATAATAATCTCTTCAGCTGTTATGATTCTTAATTTTGGTTTGATCTTGGGAGTTTGTCTTTAAAAATTTTACAAAATTCTTTGTCACCTATTTTGAATCTATAATTCTTGTCATTGTCTAAATCAATTGATATAATCATTGCCGCAATTGTATAATGGTAATATTAACTGTTTCCTTATAAAGAAACATCCTGCATTCATTGACTGAGCAACTTGTACTAATTTTGGTTGAAATTGTTAAAAATCTCTCTGTTAAAACAATTTTTCAGAAAAATAACTCTCTCAAGTCCGGTAGCTTTTATCGTTCTTTCCAGTATTTATGGGGGGTCAAACCTAGCCTTTTGTTTGAAGTAGTGTAGAATGTAAACATTTTGAATATGTCATTATTTTCTCTTCAAGTTACATGCAATATCTATTTTAGCAGTTGAATGTCTTCAAGTGATATGGTTTCTGTTATTTGGTAAAGTACTTGTGGTTCTGTAGCATCATTCCACAAGTTTTGAAGAAGTGTGATCTCTGTAAACATTTCACAAGTGTTTGTCATTTATTTTCAATCTGTAATCCTTGTCATTGTCTCAATTTTATAAAATGTGCAAGATGCAACAAAATGAAAATATTTTTCTTTCGGCTTCTTCTTATTAATTATTATACAAAGAATTGAAAGGCAAATTTTTAAAATTTCATTTTTGTTCAAGAAATTTATGACAATGATTAATACAATTATGAATTCTTTATGATTTGCAAACCATTTTAAATTACAAAATAATTGTGAAATTGTTCATGTTAATTATCATATAACTGGTTTATCTGTGGCATAAAAAAACTGACAATATTTAAATTTTTGAGAGTTTTTAAGTACAATATATTTGCAAAATTACTATTCATTAATCCATAAGCTAAAAATAATTTAAGATATAAATAATAGTGATTCACTTTTCTAGTTTAAAATTTCAAATGATTTTAAATCTACCATATCAGCAAAATATTCTACTACATAAAGATGGATGACTTGCCCATCTCCATAGAGTGAATGCTTTAGATCACATGCACATAGGAAGTATGACACTCCAAATTGATTATTTATTTACATATATTAATAAAAGAAAGGACAAGCATGTCATTTCTTGACGAATGGCAAATGTAGAAATTTTATTTGAAACCTGTATTTAGAATACTGAGCTGTTACGTGACATATGTCCTTCTTTACGGCCATGAATCTTGGATGATTTCCTCAAAGATGAAGAAGAGACTTGAGGTGACAAAAGGATGCTCAGGATATCATCGACGTAGTGTATGAGCAACGATGAAGTCTTGGATAGGATGCAAACAAGGAGGAGGCTTATACTTAATATCAGGAAGAAGCAGCTGAAGTTTCTGAGACACAA